TGTGGCGGCCCGGGGCAGCCCCGGGGGCCCCGCCAGCCTGGTCCCAGGAAGAGGCAGAGGGCTGGGTGGCAACGGGTGGCTGGCTCAAGCCGTGCCAGGTGCAGGGTCTGCTGACTGGGTGCTGGCAGGCTTGCACCTGGCCCGGGCACCGTAGCCAGCCCGTGCCCCTTTAAGGGCTCCGGGGCCGGGAGGGGGGCAGACGAGTTTCCCTGGTGGTGCCCAGAGTGTCCACCAGGGAAAGCTGGGGAGGGCTAGCCTCCCACTAGTTCGAATTAAGTGGCTACACAGCCCTTAATTCGAACTAGTTAATTCGAACTAGGCTTTAGTTCTCGTAGAATGAGGTTTACCTAGTTCGAATTTTGCACACTGCTAGTTCAAATTAAGTTCGAACTAGCAGTTTGCATGTGTAGCGCCTATCAAAGTTAATTCGAACTAACGTCTGTTAGTTCGAATTAACTTTGTAGTGTAGACATACCCTGAAAGTTAAAAGCATTTGCGGAAAATCATGCCAGTCTAGACGTAGCCTAAGGGTATGTCTACACAGGCACATTATTTCAAAATAACTAGCGCTATTTTGAAATAACTTTGTCTGTGTCTACACAGCAGGCGGTTATTTCAAAATAGTGTCAAAATACTGTCAAGCTGGAGGATTTCTTTCTTTGACTTCTGTAACCCTCATTATACAAGGAGTAAGGGAAGTCAGAGTAAGAGTGCTCTATTTTGAAATAACTGGTTTGTAGACACTCCCTATTATTTTGAAATAAGATATGTAATTGACATAGCTCAATTTGTATAGCTTATTTCGAATTAAGCCCTGCAGTGTAGACACACCCTAACAGGTACGTGTAGACCCTGCTGGCATACACTAAAAGTTCTCTACTTCATGGTAACGTAAGTGCCTCAAAAATCACACCTCACTAGTGTGGATTGCCAAACCCCCTATTATCAAGCTCCAATTAACATGGTGACTGGGAGCCTTCCTCAGTTCCAGCAAACTGTTTCAAATATTCCAAAATAAATATTTCCAGGTATGTCAGGACTTTGAGGGAATTTTTTTAGTGCTGTACTTAATTGGCATATATGCATCCATGAAATAAAAACTGTATTAAACTGCTAATGCAGCCTTTCAGTAGTGTCAATGGGTATTTTGTTGGTCTTTTTACATATGTACTGCAAAGTAGTGGCTACTTAATAATACTACTTTGAATCTACTATGCACCCCTAGATACGATATTTTATCTTCAAGTTCTTGCACATGTGCATTCCTGTATAGGTATTTGTGTACGCTTGTTAAGCTGCCGAAACGTTTTTCCCTTAAGTGGTATCCTTTGGGTCAATGCTAGTGCTCTTTTACACCACATGATTGTAGCGCTGGTTTAAGGCCCTGTCAACCCTTCCCTTTTTCAGTTCCTTCTTACCATCTGTTATAATTGCTGGAATCACTCATTGCTTAAGCAATCTCATCTCTCAGTATTTTTTTCTCAAGTTTTATTACAAACAATAAGCAGTGTGTTAGTCTTAGATAGTTTAAATAGTTTTAGATCAGAAGTCTCCACATTTTGAGACATGGCTCCCTAGAGGGATAAATATTCAAGGGAGCAGTCTGGACTAGCCCCCACAGGTGTTAGGTATTGAGTACCACCCACCTCCACTCTGATTCTAATTTTGTTCTGGCCCCATTATGGACTCCTGGCCCATACCATTTCTATTCCTGCAATTTCCTAATCCCAAAAGCAAAGACAAAGGGTGTTAGATCTGAGCAATCTCAACTGCTATCTCAAGAGCCTAAAGTTCCACATGGTTTCCTTGGCCTTCATCATCTCCTCACTGGAGATAGGTCTGCCACTCTTGATCTAAAGGATGCCAGATCTGGGCAACCTACAGCCTTGTCATGGGGGACGTTCCACACGTGCTCATGTGCAGAGAACCATCATGCATCAGAAACAATGAAGCAGGCTCAAAAAGCCCTCTTTGTTCTCCTGATCCAGAGTGCTGACAGAGGGATTCTGGGCTTACCTTGCTTGTAATCTGGTGCCAACCCATGGAGGCATATGCCTTTGGCAAAAGCATCAGCACCGGCCCGACATATCTCCCTCATCACAGTGCTGATCACATGACCACTTTGGTGAGCAAGGCCACCAGTCACTGTCCCATCAACAGTGGTCACCAAGATGTTCATCTCCATCTATCATCTCCATCTATCAGGGATGGTCTAGATGGTACTGGGTCCTGCTGTGAGGACAGGGTACTGGACTTGATGACCTCTCAAGGTCCCTTTCAGTTCTAGTGTTCTATGATTCCATGATCAGGGAGATCCTCAGACACACGTCTTAGTCCCGCTTAAAATCCTAGATCCTCTCAAGCAGTGTGAGATGTAGATTTCTGGACTATCGTTACCGATCCACTGAACGCCAGTGGTCCCGGGGTTTCTGTACCGGGGACTCATCCCGATCCAAATATTTGGTTTTGAGATGCAATGATCTGCACCATTCAGAAAGGAGTCACCATTCCACCTGTTCCTAGTCATGTGCCAGTGTTCACTCAGTGTCTGATTCCAACACCAACAGGCAGTCTTTGACAGCAGGTCAAGCTCTGGCTCCAGCTGTGTTGCTGGCATTGCGTCTGCCCCCAAGGCAAGTGGTCTTGTAACACTGGAGCCTGTGGGGGTTCATGTAGCTATCTCAGCCGACCCAGCCAATGGTGGAGGGGATCTTAGTTAGGCCATTGGCCTCAGTGTCTTGACCTCCTCCAAAAGCAGAGGTCCGGCAGTCACCCCCCATGTAGGGATGTTTGCGGCTAGTCAACTAACCAATAAGCAGGAGCTTCAGAGGGGTAGCCAAGTTAGTCTGTAACAGGAAAAACTTAAAAAACAACAAATAGTCTAGTAGCACCTTAAAGACTAACAAAACATAAGCAGGAGCTTATTGATTAGAACTATCAACTAGTCACTTCCCCCTCAGATGCTGCTCTGCATTTGACAGACCAGGGAAGACAGCATGTAAAGGTGCTGGCCCATCTCTACTCTGCGGTTCTCTTTTCATTCATGAGAACTCACACATACAGCTGCCACTCTGCATTGTACAACTCAGGGAAGACAGCGCGTGAAGGTACTAGGTTAATTCAGCTCAGTGGGTCTCTTTTCATTCAGCATAATGCCCCCCCTTCCTTTTCCTTTCCCCATTGGACACAGAGCACTTTGACACATTGCTGTGGGGTTTGCTTCCATGCTTGAAAGACCTTGTAATGTAAATAAGGTGTTCATCCTGCAAATGATAACCCTAGTAGTGCTTGTTACTTTTGAGTCACTGAAGTACTCTGAAGAACCAAGAAACTACACTAGAAAACAAAGATCTGTTGTCTGCCCTTAATGGTTTTTAATGCCTGTCCCTAAACAAATTGTATGCCAGTCTCTTTTGTGGAACTCAAGTTATTTCCATGGAGGCTTAGATATTGTTTGTGAACAGGCATCTCTCCTAGCTGGGACTCAGAGTCAGACATGACAGGTTACAAATACTTGGATTCCTTTTCACAAAGGCACTCTGGTTACTGGAATTTTTCTCCAGCCAAAACTTGTTTTTCTTCTCCCCCACAACCTCTGCTCTCTAGGGCTCAAAAGGAACCCCACGCCCTTCTCCCTGCTGCCCGGTGCGGCTGCAGATCATACTTTCAGTCTCTCCGAGCCCCCACCCAGGTGGGCTGAAATGAAGATTCACTGTCCTCTACCTGCTGCATTAGCACAACTGTAGCTTACACTTCCAGTCTCCCCGCCCCCATGAGCATGTGTTGCTTATGTTCATTACATGGCCCACTTTTCTTCCCTACTGTTGGAGTTTCTGGCAGTAGAGAACTGAGGGTGAGGGGAGCTGTCAGCTCCCCTTATAACATGTCATATGGGCCCCACTCCAGGGGCTTCCAGAACCAGCCCCTGTTGATATCATTGAGGGAAAAACTTTGGGCACTGGTGAATATACACAATTAATGTAGAATGGACATGAGCAACACATCTTAAAAAACACCAGTTACAAAGAAAGGTAACTGTAGCTTTATTAAAAATGTTCAGTTATTTTAATTTCATCATTAAATGCTTTCTGCATTAATTAGTGTAAATTTATTTGTTAATTATTGTAACATTTTATGCTGTCTGTTTGTACTCCTGCTATACATTTAATAATTATCCTGTGGATTTTACAGTATGCAAACTTTAGCTTTGGAAAGCTTATTCCACCTCCCACCCCTATCCCGAATAGTTTGTACTTTGTTCAAAAACATCATCTCATCCAATGCTTCATTTGGAATCCTGTTGAACTAAAGTTTGCTGAGAAGCAAGGATTGAGAGTTGGAATATGTCTTAAGAGAAGTTACTTTTAAAAAGCATTGAAGGTGACTATTACTCTTTTTCCTATATGATAATTTTACATAATTAGCAAAATAAAATCTGTTGTAACTTGTGAGTGATTGATAACATTTTGTTTTATGTTTGACAGGACTCAAGCAAAAAGCAAACAGAGGCAGCAACAGGTACTATAACAGAGTCCAGCACACAAAAATCTGTATTGTACCATTGAAAGCCAACACAAAATACAGGAAAGTTAAAAGCCAAAATTAAATACTAACTCTCACTGGAAAATTCCATTACTAAGACATAGAAATTATAACAGAAGCCCCATAGCATAGGTTCTAAAAGTTAAAGAAAAAATATTTTAAACATGGTAATAACTTTACCTATCAGGTATTACCATCAGTAGGTGGAAATTACTGTAACTTCACTGAGGATCTAGTCACATATATTTTTTATGCTACATAGCTTTATAAATCAATACTGTTAGTTCATAAAAATTATGATAGCATTAAGAATATTAAATAGCTTCAAAATCTAGAAAGGACAGAAGCAGCCAAAAAAACCTATTTTAATGAAAAAGTACATACTAAATTAAAGAGATGAGGACAAATATTTGCTTGCTTCATTAACCAACAGAACATTCATGTTAACTATCTAAATTTTTTACAAACAGGTCAGCATATCTTTAAGTATCAGTTTGGTTATAAACCATGGCTCTAAAACTCTTCTCACACCAATTTTATAATGTAATGCTACTTCTTCAATTAAATTAGTGAGCTCATAATCAGGTCCCTTAATTTTACCAAATATGTAGTGCAATTTGATAAAAGCCAGTTACTCTACAGCATTAACAACTTAACCATCTGTTTACTTTTTGGACCAGACTAAGGGTGCGTCTACACTGCACCATTATTTTGAGATAACTAGCATTATTTCGAAATAACAATATGAGTATCTACACAGCCATTCCATTATTTCAAAATAATTTTGAAATAATTGACGGTTAAGTCTGAAATCTGTAAATCTCATTCTACAAGGAATAATGCCTATTCTGAAATAGCTATTTCGAAATAAAGCACATGTAGATGCTCCACTGCTGCTATTTTGAAATAGTCCCTCACCAAGGCCATTCTAAGTTATTCCTCCTCAGTGCCTTCTGGGGTTCTAAATTGAGATAGCACATCTACATTAGGGAAGCCTGCTTCGGACTAATTTTGAGGCTTCCCTGCATTATAGACACACTATTTTAAAATAAGCTATTTTGGAATAACTATTCCAGAATAGCTTATTTCGAAATAAGTGTGCAGTACAGACATACCCTAAGAGATGTTCTATAAATGATATTAATATACATACAGTTATTAGGCAGTGTATAGTAAATCCATGTAGAAGTACAGTTTATTCTCCAATTTCCTGACGGAGCTGCTGTGTCGGTTTCCCTCCTGAGTCTGGTGTAAGCATACACAAACAACTAGAGTTCCAAATACAGTCTCCTTTCCTGGGTTTGTTATATTAACATGCAAAATAATCTCAACATTTGTACACTGATGCTTGCAAACAGGAAGAAAAGGGAATGAATCAAGTAGGAGTCCCTCACAACAACAAACTTTTGCATGGACTAATTGTATAATTTGTCTACTATATTAAAACTAACCCAATTTTATCCTGTGTTTACAACAAAATTAATGGCAACAGTACTTTATATGGTAGTACAATTACTTTCTCAACTGTTTCTGTTTATTTTAGCAAGTAGTTGCCTTTATAGAAATCCTAAAATAGAGCAGGGAGGAGTGAAAAATCTTACTCAGCCGTTTTGGGAAAAAAAGTTGCATCGAAACTCATGAAATTGACAGTAAAATTTTATACTAAACTATAAATTTTCAGGAAATACTTTTATGTCAATACAACTTTGAGGATTGAAATGTATAGCATTTGACTTAAATCTGTAGATTACAGCTTTTGTTCAGAGCCCTCCTAATATGGATTTTTGGGTAATTCCTGTATTCTGTAACATCAATCAAACAAATGTAATCAGAGTGTTTTTTTAGTTTGAGGGATACTGTTGCATCAGCTCCATCTTGACAAGAACCAGTCTCTTTCCTTTTGGTGAATCAGCTTTTTTAGTCAAGCACATGCTGATACTGGCAACCTCCTTCTTCTATCTAAGAGAAATGGTATGTCCAGTTTCTCTCCAGAACTTCTGATGAAGTAGGGTTTTCCCTAGGAAGGAAGTTATATGCATGTATGCACACACAACTGGAAGTTGTCAGACAATTCCATTTTTGGGACTAAAACAATATTCTTTGCTTTGGACCTCTTCAAAGAGGGCATTAGGGAGTTCAAAGATTCCAGAAGAGGCCTTTTCAAATCCAGGGACGCCAAAGACCTCCTTCCGTATTAATGAGGACATTATGGAAATCATGAAGAATCCTGTGATAAAACTCTCTTTCCTAAAGACAGTGCAGAACTATAGGCTATCCAAATTGTGCTCTGACTCATGTTTTTTGTTCTCACTTCCTTCTCTCCTCTTGCATAAAAGCAAAATTACCCGTAATTTAGTGAATATAACCCGCGGAAGCGACAAGGAGTCCTGTGGCACCTTATAGACTAACTGAAGTGTAGGAGCATAAGCTTTTGTGGGAAAAGACCCACTTCGTCAGATGCAGGTAGTGGAAATTTCCAGAGGCAGGAATATTTCC